CGCACCTCCCTTCCTCCTCCTCCTCTCGTCCTCTGCATGGTTTCCCCAGCCCCACCCCCCCCCCGCATTCTATCCCCACGCTCCCAGCCACCCCCGCACGTCCCGCTCACCGGGAGCCTCAGGCCGGCCCGCGGCTCTGGACTTGGCCGAGGACAGAGGAGGCGCGTGACCGGGCCTGGGGCAGGCGGGGAGGAGGGGCAGGGGGGAACCGGTCGAGCGCGGCAGACACGAAGTCCTGAAAGAGCCAAAGTGAGCCTGGGAAGACGCAGAGCAGGCGAAGAGATCCAGAAATGGGAGAGACAAGGTGGTGGGAGGAAAGAGTAACATGCCAGAGCGTGGCCGACAGCTAGCCCCACACCGAGCCTACCTGGATTACAGAGGCGTGGAGCCCTGGCAGGAGGAGTTATGCAGAATGCTGAGCATGCGCACAGAGAAGCAGCGTCCCTCGTGACCTCTCCGGCACAGCGGGGTGGAGCGTAGGAGGAGCAGCGGTCTCCCTGCGCACCTGGTCCTAAACCTCCTCAGTCCTGCTAGCCCCCGCGGCCTGAACAAATGTTACCGTGTGGTTCGGAGCCAGTGTGCAGGAGACCCGGCCGCGGGGAGGGTACAGACTTGGAAAACAAGATTGGGAGTTTAGGACCAGCGGGATCTTGGCCAAGTAACTCAGCCTCTCGGGTGGGTTTTCCCGTCCGACAGGGAGGTCCTGGATTACGATCTAGTTTGTAGACGGCTGCTTTCACATTCTCTGCTTGGAGATCCCTTCCAGCTCTGACATTCCCTGTTCTAGAACCCTCCCAGCTCTGACATTCTGTATTCTAAGGTGCATTCTAGCTCTGACCTTGTGTTCTAAGGTGTATTCTAGCTCTGACATTCTATTTTCTTCATTATTAAAATCTTTACTGATTTACATAGACTTAGAGCTCAAAGGGACTTTAGAGATCATGTGCCCTTCCGCTTCATTTTTCAGGGGTCATTTTACAGGGGAAGAAACCTAGTTAGGTCAGAGCAGAGACTAGAACCCAAGTCTCCTGACTCCCAATATTGCACTCTTTCTGACTGGTGGTCTGACAAGTACCCCTCCATCCCCACTTCCAGAACAAAGGTCCTTAGTCCCATGACCAGCTGATGAATGAGGAGGGATCCCTTCGATTTTTTCCAGTCCTCAAGCTCACTTCACTCCCACTCCTCTCCTGCTTAGGAAAATCTGAGATGCCAGAAAGGGCAAAACAAAGACAAAGACAAGGTCCCCCAGACGAGAGGCAGAGGTAACCCCGGCAAAGCATAACCTTCATCAGGACTAAGGTACACTGTCTCTCTTAGGTCACCCCGCCCCAATTCAGCTGACCCCACCACTTCCTGACAGGACACCTGCTGCAGTCCCTGGTTGCCCCATCTCCCCAGGCAACCCATGAAGGTTATTGCCCTGGGCAAAGTTGCTATAACTATTTTAAAGTAAAGCCCTGCTCAGTTCAACCTACAAGTTCAAGAGCACCTGCCATAATCCTTGATATTAGTGTATAGTTGCAGTTTGATTAAGTCTCCGATCCTATCACTTCTCACCACCCCTCGTCAAAATCTTTACTGACTCCCTGTGGCCTACAGAACTAAATTCTAAGCTTGACATTCAAGGCCCTTCTTACCCTTCCTACATTCTCTCTCCCTAGACTTCCCCTTCATATGCTCTACCTGACAGCCAAACAGGATTACTTGCTCTCCTCAGACAAGGTCCAGGGCTCTGCCCTCTCAGCTTTGCTCACAGTTTTCTGCACCTACCACCCCTATTGAAATCCTGTGGTTCCCTCAAGGCCTCCTCAAATGCCATCTCCTCCGAGGCTTTCTCTGATAACCTCCACCTCCACTCTGATGTGAAGTCGTATCTCTGTACTCCTGTGGATCATCACCTTCACATCTGTATTATGTTTACATTACTTCTTATACTAGTTGGGGAGCTGTCTGAGAGTAGGGACTGTAGTATGCACATCTGGATCGCTCCCAGTGGACACAACAGATGTCCATGTTCAATGAATGGGCTCTTAGGGCTGTAGGGCTCCTCAAATTATCTACTCCAATTTACTAATTTTAAAGAAGCAGCTCAGACTCACAGGTGATCTGAAAGGTTCCTTCCAGCTCAAACTGCATATGAAATCATTCAATCAAACTTCCTTCTTTTACAGATGAGAAAACTCAGGCTCAGATTGATAAAGGACCTCATTCAGGAAAATCGGCAAAGCCGAGAGTTGCATCCAGACGATGGCCAAAAGTCCCTGCCTGGTCTAAATCCTAGGAGCTTCAACTCAAACCTGTTGGTGGACAACTCAACAAAAAAACCGACACAGGCTGATCTTTCTCTTCCATTAAGTCACAACACCACATTTGCATCTCTTATTTCCTTTTATTGAAAAAAATTCATTTAGAAAATGGCAGTTAATAAGGGACACAGAACAGAAATTAAGAAACGGGAGAGTTGGGGGGGCAGAGGTGGGGAGAAGCCATGGAGGACACAAAGAGAACTAAAAACGCCATTGACTGATTTGATTGGTCAAGAGCATAAAACCTGATATCCAGAAGGAGGATCTTTCCTTCCCCTGGTCTGTTTTCAACAAATTAATGTGATGGGTATTGTGTATTATTACTTTTTTAAAGTCACCCCCCCAATTCAGTCAATAAATACAAAACTCAAAAGTAGGTCTGTGACTAGAAGCTGTTGTACCCCAAAGGTTTTGTCCTAAATCCCTGAAGGAGGCAGGGCCTGGGATAAAAAACTAATAATGGACAGGTGCAACAGTCAGCATTATGGGGAACAGGTTAAAAAATTTAAAAGAAAGGGAGGGGCAGGCATTGCAGGAAGCTGCTGCTGCATGGTATAAGCACTGCCAGGTACAAAGGAGGAGGTCTATAGAGCTTCAAGCAAAAACTCCTTCCAAAAGTCCTTGATAAATCAAGAGTCTTTCAATCTAATCAATTCCAAAGGTCAGAGAGCAACCGTAATGACAGGTTAGAGCAAGGCAGCCATATGGACCGGGTCTGACCATGACCTTGCTTGCTCTACACTAGCTCCCAGCTCCTGATTCCACTTTAGAAAATCCTATTGATCCAGAAGGAACTAGGATTTCATGACAAAACATGAGACATTTTAAACATTTTTTATTTTACTCTATCTGCTTTAGTTTCTGGCTTGTGGGGTATTTGTTTCTGTTTTGTTTTTGTTGTTTGGTGTGTGTGTGTGTGTGTGTGTGTGTGTGTGTGTATGTGTGGTCAGCATGATCCCAGCAGAAAAAAGGCTGCTCCTGGAAGGGTTATTTCGTTTTCCTCTCTGTGGCGAGACTGTCGTGGAGCTTGGAGATCTCAGGCTCGTAGGCCTCCATGACCAGCATCCCACTGTTGTCGAAAAACTTAGCAATGGATTTAGTGAACTCTGCTTCTCTCTGCTGCTTGGTTTTCCCACTAATGAAGGTCAGCTTCAAGGTGTACTTGTCATCAAATCTGGGTACCAGGACACAACATACAGAATTCAGGTTTGGTAAGCATTCATCAACAGTAAGTGGCATCTACTAACAGACGACACCTTGGGTCCTGAACCTCAAAATGAACCATAACTAACATCTATATAGACTTTTACAGTTTACAAAGCACTTCTTTATCAACAGGCAGGTGCTGTGGAGCAGCCACACCACATGAGGAACATTTATTGAATTACTGAATTTAATGAAGGAGCAGTACAATTAAGTGACTTCCTATAGTCACAAGGTTAGTAAACTAAAGTCAGGACTGCCCTCTCAGGTGATTTTTCTTTTCATTTTTTTAAAATCAACTTAAACATCAACAAACACGGACATTTCAATAAGCAAAAAACAGAAAAGGGGATTGTATATGACTATGAACTTCAGTTAAAAAGTTTTTTTAAAGAGTATATATTAAATTAACATGAAAATAACTAAATTGCTCTGGTTGTCTGTGGGCCTTTCTGAACTTCCCTTTATAGTCTGGCATATATTTTTAAATGTTTCATTGATTCTCCTTTTTTCTTTTCTTTCTTTATTTAGCATTATTCATCAACTGTCTCCCCTGAGCCATCTAAAGCAGAAGAAGCCTTCCCTTCTCTTCACGTTCTGTTTATTTTTACTGCAGAGTCTGTCATCAAGGACTTGACAGTAGTTAGATGGACACAACAATCCTTAAAGATCTGGAATTTCACCAGTGTAGGGGCTCCCACCACTAACCTCATTTGATCTTCACAATAACCTTGGAAGGTCCCTTATATCATCAACCTTCTATACAGAATAAAACAGGCAGTGTGATGTCACTGGAAGAACACTAGACTTAGGGCTGAGACCTGGGTTCAAATCCCAGCTTTTCTATCTAATGCCTTATGTTACCATGAGCATGTTACTACATTCCTCATTCCATGTATGGGGTGTTCAGGGAGGACTAGCACCTCTGGTGTGAGGACTTCCTGAGCCCTTTTTGGGACTGCTCATCCAAAGTTGGTGTCTACTTGTCACCCAACTCTTCTTACCTGTGGCTCCAAGGAGCTGCAGCATGCACAGCAGCCACACCCCAGCAAAAAGTCTCAGCAGATGGGCTAAAAAGGCTAAGAGTAACCGACTGGCCTCAGACCCATCAGTGAGTTAAGGGGATGTCTACTCTAAGCATGTGAAGACTTTCCCTGGTGGGATGGGTGGATGAGAACAATTTGTTCCAATGACGATGAAGGCAGCTGAAGCAGGTACTGTGGAGCACTTAGAGCTTGGTCAGACACAGAAGATGTCATGGTCATGCCAAGGTCACGCACTGCATCGCAGGCCATCACCAGTCGTCTTGACTTTTGTTCTACCACTGGACTTCAATGACTCAGGAAGAGAGAGTGAGACTGACAACTTTGTCCAACTCTGCCTCTCTTCAATCCAATTTGCACTGGAGTCAAAACATTGTCTGTGATGTCACTGGTCCTCTTCAAAGGACAAACAACATTTCCTCATTCATCTTTCTCACACGTTACCAACAATGAAAATTACAATTAAATCAATAGAGTTGGTCACTGGGCAGCACACAATGGATAGAGTGCTAAGCCTGGAGTCAGGAAGACTAGAATTTAAATTGGGTTTCAGACACTTACTAGCTATGTGACCCTGAGGAAGCCACTTAACCTGTTTGCCTCAGTTTCCTGAACTGTAAAATGATGATAATAATAACACCTAGCTCCCAGGATTGCTGTGAAAATCAAATGGGATAATATTTGTAAAGACTTAGCACAGTGCCTGATAAGTAGCAGGCACCATATAAATAACTAGCTGGCTATCACCATCATCATTATCACTAATGCTTCTAAAAAAGGCATTTTTGATGGACTGCCATATGGTCTCACTCACTATTCTGGTATGTTCCCAAACCAAAAAACTTCCCTGGCCAAAACTCCTCTATGTGTATGATTCTTAAGGGAAGCAACTATGTCTCTTCAGTATTTTTATTCCCAGTACTTAGTATAATGCCTGGCACACTGTCTTTAATAAATGCTTTCTCATTCATTCATTCATCCTATTTCTTTCTCTAGGCCTCAATGACAATATGATTTCTAAAATCCTTTCTAGTTCTTGATCCTATAATCTACCTATGTCAGACTCATCATTCATCTGGCACTTGGGAAAGCCACCATGTATTATAAGCTATCCTTCTGCTGATATGTCTTGGTTCCCAAACTGGTTTATCAACACCCAGATTGTATTTTATACTTCTACGTCCCCAGTACTTGGAACAGAGCCCTACCTGTAGAAGACGTTCAATGAATGTCTGCTGCTGGTATTGATTCAAACATTGAGTTATGCAAAGAATTCTATGCTACGCACTAAGGATTAAAAATGGCGAGGGAGACTTTTCTCTCAAAGAATTTATAGTCTACTAGTAAGGGATGAAGTAGGAGAGGAAAACACAGTATATAATGAAAGTTACACCTAAGAATATCATGGAAGTCAAAAAACATGAACACTTTTCAAAAGAGAAATTATGTACTATAGTTGCTATATTACTATACTACAATATACTCTATTAAAATATCTACACATTCTATATATAGTATAGAAATCATAATACTCTATATTCTCTCTTTCTCTCTCGTATAGTAATAGCACTATAATACTCTCTATATTCTCTCTCTTTCTCTGTCTTGTATAGTAATGGTATTATAATACTATAACTACTACAGGAAATAACATATGCTCTAAACCACTAATACCAAAAGAAATGCGAATTAAAACAATTCTGAAGTTTCACCTCTTATTCAAATTAGCACGATGACCAAAAAAAGTGAGAAATGTCAATATAAGAGGAACTGTGGGAAGAGATACATGTTTTTCTCCTGTCAATAAAACCATGGAAGTACTCAACCATTCTGGAAAGCAATTTGGAATTCTCTAAGAAAAGTGACTAAAATGTCTGCTGCTCTTTGACCTGGCAATGCCTGCCTGTCATGAGTATTAATTCCAAGAAAGTTAAAGTGTGAAATCCCAGAATGTACTCACACATTCAAAGCAGCACTCTTTGTAGCAGCAAAGCACTAGAAAGATGTGATGCAGTGGGATAGGTGCTACTCAGTAGGGTTCAAATCTCTCTTCAGATGCTTACTATGTGAAACTTAATCTCTCAGAAAGGAGGAAGGAAACAAGCATTTATTAAGTGACTATTATGTGCCTGGCACTATGCTAACCACTTACAAATATTCCTCATTTGATATTTAAAACAACCTTGGAAGGTTGGTGCTATTACAGGAAATGGGCAAACAAAGGTTAAGTGACTTGCCCAGGATCACATAGCTAGTTAAATATCTGAGGTTGCATTTGAACTCAGGTCTTCCTAACTCCAGGCCCCACACTCTATCACTGCACCACCTTGCTACGAGTGGAAAGACTCTGAATCTCAGTTTTTGACAAATTTTTCATAAAATGGGGATAATAAAATTTGTACTACTGAATTCACAGGGTTCTTGTAAGGAAATTTTTTCTTTTTTTTGAAAACTTTAAAAGGCTACATAAATGTGAGTTTGAAAGAAAAGAATGAGAGGGAGGGAGGGAGAAGAGGAAGAAGGGGAGAGAGGAAGGGGATGGATAGAAACAGAGAAAAGAGAAGGGGAGGGAGAGAGAAAGAGACAGAGAGAGAGGGAGTGTATGTGTGTGTGTGAGAGAGAGAGAGGAGAAGAAGAAGGAGGAGGAAAAGGAAAAGGAGAAGGAGAAGGAGAAGAAGAAGAAGGGGGGGAGAGAGAGAATGAGAATGGCTGGCAGTAAATATTCTTGAAGAAAAACCCATTTCTTTATCATATAAAGAATCATACAGTGAGCATACCGTTTAAGACTGGAAGAGAGCTGCCAAATATCATCAGGATCCATTCCTGATGGATCTTTTTTATGCGCTACAAGAAAAATGCTTTTCTCCTTATATGAAGTATAGATGGTCAGGATCCCCATCATGATGAAATAGGTTCAGGGTACGTTAAGGAAACAGAAAGCTAAGACAAGGCAAAACAAAGATATGGAAATTAAAGAGGCCCCTGAAACTTTCTGTCTTCAGAGATGGCTGTATTACTGCAAACATGTCAACCAATCTCTCTAGGTCCACTTCCAAATCTGTCAGCTAAGGTTGGACTCAATAGTCTCTAACATCTTTCTACCATTCTACAGTAGTGCTCTAACAGTTCATGTCTCCTTGCTCTGAACTTATTTCACTGGCTTCTTACGTTACAAAAAGGGATAGCACGTAGAGGGACACAGTGAAGTGGCAGGTATCTGCAAGAGAGAGACCAAGATTGTAAGGGACTAGAGGGATTGGCTAAGGACCTGTATGGGAGAAAGAGCCCTGGATTTGGAGCCAAAGGACATGGGCCTGCATTTTGGCACTTCCAGTTACTAGTTAGGTGACCTTGGGAAGCCACATCCCTTTCAGCAAAATGGAAGGGGTTGGACTCAAGGATCTCCAAAGTCCCTTCCACCTTGGAATCTCTGATCCTAAGACACTGATCTGTCAAAGGAGCACTTATGGCTCCTTCCTAAGATTACCCACATTAGTCAGACATGAAACCTGATTTCTAGAGTCAAAATGCAAATTTCTAAGCACTTTGTAAATCTTAAAGATGTTCCTCACAACCACCCCATGAAGTAAATAGTGTCAGAATTATTACCCCTATTTTATAGACGAGCCAATAAGAGGGAAAGTGATTTGTCCAAAATCTCACTGCTTAGTGACAGAATCAGGACTGGAAGCCAGATCTCATCAGTCCAAAAGTAAGCTGCCTCTTACTCAGTCTGATTTCCTTTAGCTCTCTTTCCTGTCCCTTCTCTCCAATTTAACTGTTATTCAGACCCCTCCTCCCAGGTAAGTGGACCAATCAACATGTTTTGGAAGGGAAAAAAGGGCAGTGATTACAAGGATATGATATGACACATAAGGCAAGGACTGGCTTGGATGCTGGAAAGGGGTGCAAGTAGTCCCAGACCAAAGCCACAATGGCAAAGAAACAGGAGATTGTACAGATGATGAGGCGGCCATCAATCAAACCAAAATTCTCCACATACTTGTACTTTTCTAGAAGCACCTGATGAGAAAACAAACATAAAAATAAATTGAGGAATCCAGTTAACAAGGATATTTCTTCTCTTCATTTTGTTTCTGTGTATGTGTGTGTGTGTAAAAATGCTTTTTCATTACATAATCAGCATCACGTTGGGGAATAGGATGTACAATGTTGAAATAACAGATCTTTTGAAGTAATCAGAATCATCAAATCGTAAATACAAGGACTCTCCAAAGTCACCTAATTCAAGTTGTTTCAGTATTATTAAACTCTACACCAAAGGCTGGCAAACTACAGGCCATGGGGCCAAATACACCTGCTTCCTGCTTCTGTAAAGCCCAAGAGCTAAGAACAGTTTTTACATCTTAAAATAAAGTTTTATCATATTTTAAAATGTAAGAACCATTCTTAGCTCAAGGGGCTTACAAAAGCAGATTAGGACATAGTTTGTCAACCTCTTCTCTAAACCACCTATGGCAACTTGAGTGTTTAATTTATTACTTAAGAACTTCAGAGAAAGTCCACACATTCTGCTACTAACCCAAAGCAATTTGATTCAATTCTACATGCCTTGATGATGGGACTGGAAACATGAAAAATAATACAATCCTTGCCCTAGAGAGATTACAATCTAATAGAAGTATGGGACATGTACACAAATGTGTATGATACAAGGTAGAATGGGAACAAAGTGCTCTAGGAAAATTTGGGGAAAAGATTATTTTTAGTTGGGGATTAACCAGGGAAAATGACAACATCTGAACTGGGACCTTGAAAGAAAAGAATTTTAATAGGTGCAAAGGAGTACTTCTTAGCCATAGGGGGCAGCTTGCATGAATGCAGAGAAAGAAGGAAGCAAAATAAAAACTAGGAACAAGTTACTTATTCCTGGCTGGAATGTAATAAGTATGAAAAGGGAATAGTGTGAAATAATGTTGGAAAGAGAGATTATAACCAGAGAGAAACAAAATACCAATCTAAAAAGGCTTATTTGTAATCTTGGCATCTCTATGTCAAGGATGTATTGAAGAGGGGGAAAAGCTGGAGGTAGATATACCAGTTGCATTATTTCAACAGTACAGGTGAAGTTATAAAGGCCTGAACTAGAACGGCAACCATGGGAATGGAACATTTTTTGACCAATTTGGCAGCTCCACTATGTGAAGACAAATCACCAAGATCCTTTCTAGCCCAGTTTCAACCTTTCAAGAACACTGGTCACCTGAGTCCACACACACACACAGACACACACACAAGACCCACTGAAGATGGATTACTAGTTGTGTGCAGGCAGGTATTTTGAAGGCTAATTTTAAAAGGGAAGCTATAATGATGTTACAAAGAAGCAAGTACCTTTTTGGCAGAATCATCCAAAGAATTTTTCACCGCAGATCCATCCCACTTGTCAATTTTTACAGGTTTATCATCAATCTTCCACTGTAACAAATTGAAAAGTTTCACATCAAAGGATTTGGTATCCAACTGAAATTAAAATATATCTCCAAATGCTATGAGGCCCAATTTAGAAAACCCACAAATATACATAATGTTTGTTTACTCTTTGCCTCCTGATGCTGTCTGAAGTTCTAGGGAATACAGCAGTTAAAAATGAAGTAGAAAAATAGAAAATTTTCCAACAGAAAAGCCACTATCTCCTCTTCCTTCTGGTAGAGGGAATAAAGACTTTGAATGCTCTCCAAGGCTTACTTGCTATTTCCTGCAACACACAAACACCATAGTGTGATACAACATGGACCAATTTTATTTTATTTTTAAAAGTTCAATATTATTTTATTTTCAGTTGAGAATTCTCTCCCTCCCACTGAGAAAGCAAAAAACAAAACCCATTACAAATACATATAGTTGTACAATTAGGCAAAACAAATCCCCACATTAGCAGTGTATTCCACCCCTCCCCCCCCAGCCATGCTTCAGTCTGCATTTTAAGTCCATCAGCTCTCAATAAGGAGGTGGATAGCATATTTTATCATGAGTCTTCTGGAATTATAGTTGGTCATTGTGTTAATCAGAGTTCCTAAGTTTTTCAAAGTTGTTTGTCTTCACAAAATTGTTATTTTATAAATAATTCTCCTGTTAACTGCTCCCTTCACTCTATGTTAGTTCATACAAATCTTCCCAGTTTTTTCTGAAGCTATTCCCTTCATCATTTCTTATAGCAGTCACTCTCATTCACATATATGACTTGTTCAGTCAGTGTCCAGTTAATGGGTACTTCCTCTCCCTCCAGTTTCCAGTTCTCTGCCACCACAAAAAGAGCTGCTAAACATATTGGTAGATGGGGGTTGTGGGTCAGTTTTAAATGGATCACTTTGTTTGCTGTCTTTTGGAGCACAAGAAGCCATTCTTGAGTAACAATCCCACCAAACCAGGATATTAATCATTACCTGAACATACACCATGCTTTGTGCCTTTATAAATCCATCCCTCATCCTCACCTCTACTCACTGACAGTTTATCTCCCATACCACCTGTTTCATGCAGGAATCCTCCCTAACCAGAAGCATCACTGCTTCATATGAATTCACAGAAGAAAGAGCTGGGTTCACATCCTGGTTCTGCCTTTTATTAGCAATGTGCCTCTGGACAGGTCATTTCCCTTCTCTGGGATCTGAGATTCTTTATTTATAAAATAAGGAAATCCAACAAGATGATGCCTAAGGTCCCTTCCAATTATAACATTTTATACACCTACAACATTTTTTCCCTTACATTCTTCTATACTTACATGCTATCTGTACTTCAATTATTTGTGCCAGTGTCTTAACCATTTTTATCAAAAAAACACTAAATGTTAGGTAAATAATGAAGGGCATCATGGCACAGAAAAACAAAACGAGCAGTTAATACAAAATTAGGTGAGTTTTGGAATGTGTTGTTTGGCTTGGGGGGTGGTACCTGGAGTGGAAGAAGGAGAAAGGAATGTATAGTATTTAGCTTCTTGATTATTTGAAGCTTAGATAAAAAGGTACTTTTATCTAAGTACTTAGACAAAAGAGTATTTCAAATAACAATTCCTCACATTTTAATTAAGCTTAAGGTTACCAAAGAATTTTCCTAACATTTCCAGGAGGCAGAATGCAAAGTTTATTATCTTTATCTTACAGAAGAAGAAATTGAGGTTCAGAGACAAGAGTACATCCTATGTGAGAGCTAGAAATGAATCACAGAATCTCAATATCTGAAGAGATTCAAACATTGGGAAAGCAAGAAAAACAAGGGTCATTACAAATATATATATATAGTTAAAATTCCCACATTAGCCATGCTCCCATCACCCACATTCTACCTCACAAGTAGGATCCCAGCTATAAATATGCCTAATAACTGATGATCCAGAGTCAGATGGAAAGCCTTTCAATGAAGGCAAAGCCAGGACCTCCTGGGGCAGACCATTCTATTTTTGGATAATTCTGTTAGATCAGTTTTCCTTATCTGCTAGATGCTGGGATACAAATGGAAAAATGAAAGTTCTCTGCCTTCAAGGAGTTTACAATTTCACCAGAAGGATACAACATGTGCCAAATCTATATAAAACAAAGTAATCTGAAGAGGGAGAGAACCTAGCAACTAGGAGCACCAAGAAAGGATTCATGAAGGAAATGGCAGCTGAGCTGTGCCATGAAAAGCCTTCTCAGACAGGAGTTTGTGTGGAGGGCTTTTCAGGAATGAGGAACAGCTAGCAGGCCAGTTTGTCTAGAATATGAAGTAGGTACAAGCAAACATAATATGCTTATAGGGAAAGTTTTATAAATTATAAAGTGATAGAGAACTGAGGGATAATACAATGATTTCTGATTGTACATAACGCAGCTGGCCGACGTCAGATAAATAATACCAGGTCACCATTATATATACATAGTCTTTTGCAAAATATTTATGCTACTTTTCTCCTCTTTATTTTTTTTCTTACTCCCATGGAGTTTCTTCACTTATTGAGATTACTGCCTTTGAAAAAATTTTAAAGTAACCTTGTTGGTGTTGTTCAATCGTGTCTAACACTTCCTGACCTCATGGACCCATAGTGTCCATAGGGTTTTCTTGGCAAAGAAGATACTGGAGTAATTTGTCATTTCCTCCTCCAGTGGATTAAGGCACAAACAGAGGTTAAGTGGCTTGCCCAGGGTCATATAGCTAGTATGTATCAAAGGCTGGCTTTGAACTCTGGTCTTCTTAACTACAGGCCCTGAAATCAATCTACTGAGTCACCTCCCTCTCTCTTGGTACGTACTAATAAAATGGGTAATAACAGCTAACATTTACATAGAATTTTTAAGGTTTAAAAAGCACCTTAACATGTATTATCTCCTCTGACACTCATAACTGCATTATAAAGTAGGTACTTTTATTATCCCCACTTTATAGAGAAAGGAAATTAAGGCTGACAGAAGTTAGAAAACTTGTCCAGGGCCATATAGCCAGTAAATTGACTCCATATAAGTACTTCAATAAGCATTTCAACCTTTTCTAAAGCTGAGTGCACTGATTTCTATATTCCCAATCAAAATTCAAGAACTCTTTCTTTAGGGGTCACCTTTCAAAGACACCATCTTGTTTTCTATAGTCCAGTATTTCCAAATTGTAATCAGTGATGTTCTACACGAGAAATATGCCTACGCTAGTGACATTCCCTCTTGAAAATCAAATATGAAATTGTATGTGATAAAAATATATTGATTACATGCAGCACTTTTTCAGTATGAAAAGAGATGTAATTTCCTCCATTTTGTTGCAAAACATTCCTGGCCATTCCTCATCCAGCAGGGTAATTCCATACCTGCCTTTATGGAATCTATCAATATATTTCATGCCCCAAAGTGTTATGTGACCAATGAGTTTGGGAAACAATGCTTTGAACAGATGCTAATTTGGAGTCAGAAGCCAAATTAATTTATAAAGTTTCTGAACCAGATCTTTTAGCCTAGAGAAGTAAAGATGGAACTGTTTTCAAGTATTTAAAAGAATTGTCATTTACAAGAGGGATGCAATTTGTTCTGCTTGGCCCCAGAAAGTATAGAGAAGAAAAGAGTCTGACTACAACAATATTAAGAGTACTCTTCTCTGGAACCTTATAACTTTTCCTCCCAACAGCCCAAAGACAGAAAGTACTATTATCCCCATTTTACAGCTGAGAAAACTGAAGCTCAAAGAGGTAACATGACTAGCCTACGGTCACAGAAGGTAAGTTTCCTTATACTAGAATCACTGCTCTTTACACTCCACCACAATGGTGAGGCCAAGACATCATTCACAGTCAAATTCCTACAAAAATTCTTCTGTTCACCGCTTCTACTTCCTGCCCTCCCTCCTGTTTCCAACTCCATTCTACTAAAACTACTCTCTCCAAGGTTATCACTCACCTTAACTGCTAAGCCCAACGGTCTTAATTCTCAACCTGTTTGAGCCACCTTCAGCCTGTGGCCCTGCTGACCATATTGGTCTCTTCTCCCTTGGCTTCTGTGACAAGGAGGGCTGTCACTGCAGCCTGGTTCTCTTACCTAACTGGTCATGCTTTCTTGGTCTCTTTGTGCAACATCAGACCAAGTGTGAGTCTCTCACATCTCTCAGTGTCTGGGGACCCCTTGTCTCTCTCTACTCTTTATTTCGGGAGGCTCATCAGGTCCCATGGTTTCCAGTATCATCTCTGTACAGATGACTCCTGAATATATATATCCAGTCTCAATCTCCCCCCTAAATGCCCTGTCCTGCATCATCAAGCGCCTGCATCTTTAACTGAGTGTCCCTCAGTTCCAAAATGAAACTGGAGCTCTGCCAACCACTCCCCACGTGCCCCTCCTCCAGACTTCCCTCATTCTGTTGGGAGCACTCCTGTGGGTCACTCAGGTTAGCAACCTCAGTCATTCCTGAGTATTCTCTCTCCTTCATCCCTCATCCAAGACTTGCTGATTCTACCCCCATTTCTCTACTCTCAAAGCCACCAATAGAATTCAGTCTGAGAGCTAGGTTATGACCTCACCCCTCTCTGGTATTCCTTTTTCCAAAATAATCTTAAAGGACAGATGTGATCACGTCACTTTCCTCATCAACAATCTTCAGTGGCTCCCTAATGCTTCTAGGATAAATTGCAAACTCTAACCTGGCGTTGCAAACCTCCACAGTCTAAGTCTAACTCCTTTCTCAGACTTATCTGATATTACTTCCCTTCATGAACTCTAGGTTCCAGCCAATGTGTTCCCCAAACTTTACAGTCTATATCCCATCTGTGTGCCTTCTCCCAGACTGGAATGTAGTCAGTCCTAAGCTTGATTCTGAGAATCTTTCAAGGCTCAGCTCAGGTGCCATCTCCTATATGAGATCCCTCCTGATTGCCCCCACCCCATCACTGCTCTCTCCTTCCGTGATCCACCTTATACATCCTCACCCCTTTTCATTTTGTCTCTCTCTCTCCAGTAAAACAGAAGCTGTTTGAAAGCAGCATGTTTTTGTCTTTAAGTCCCTCAAAGTTAGCAAAATGTCTTACACGTAGTAGTCACTTGCTAAGTATTTTAATTGCTAAAGTCTGTTTTGAAATATATAACCCCTATATTACACTATATGGATTCCTTTCAGCAATTATACTTCTCCAGTTGGTCTGCTTAAATACTAAAAATGTCATTATGTTCAATAACAGTAAATGGCTGAAAAATGCAGCATTGGGATGAACAGCAGGATGAGAATGAAGTGCTAGATCAGCGTGGGAGACAAAGTCAAATAACTAACGGCACTTAGAACATTAGAGGGAAGAGACCTTAGAGATCATTTAGGATACCTTATATCTTCTCTGAGAAAGTTACCAAATTAGTAAAATAGATCAGAGGAAGGCCACAGACATAGAATATGTGGATTCCAGCAAAGCATCTAACAAAGTCTATCATGCTCTCCTTGGGGTCAAGATGGAAAAATATGAGCTAGACAAAAATACAGTTAGGTGAATTAAGAACCAGTTGAAATACAAGACCAAGACAGAGTCATTAAGGTTGACTTTTAGGAGGGTCTCCAGTGGAGGGCCCTAGGGGTTTGTATTTATACTTGTATAGTTCATAGGTAAAAGTTGGAGGGAGATATATAGGCATGTTTATCAAATGTGCAAATGAAAGAGATAGCTAACTCATAGTAAGAAGAGTCAGGGTCCAAAAAGATATCAATAACCTAAAAAGATTAGATGAATGTAAGACAATTAAATTTAATAAATATATGTAAAGTCCTTTACTAAAAATTCAACTCTGCAAGTGAAGGGGTTAGAGGGAGGAGATAGTTAAACAAAGGTTCATGTGAAAAAGATATGGGAGTTTTAATGGACTACAAGCTAACTATGCATCAAGTTTGACTTGGCAGTCAAAAAAGCTGTGATTTTACTTTGAGTTCAGAGGCATTGCGTCCATATGTTAATAGGAGGAGGAGG